GGGGGGGGGGGGTTTAAGGATTACAGGTCCTACTTAGTCCCTACTGATAGAGTATTCTGGTTTTGGAGAGTAAGAAGCTAAGGCCACCCCCTCCTCATTAATAATTAGCTTTTTTGATCTGTATTTATCTTTGAAGAGAGTGAATTTGCTCTGTAATCACTATTAGTAATTAAAAATCATCTTTATTTGCTATCTTCAAATTGGTCTGTTTTGCCTAGTGATAAAAGGAGTTAGGATTCTCATCTTCAATTTCTGAAACATCTATGCTTGACAAGATGATAGAAGGAAGAATATAATCCTGGGCTGCATCAAAAGTGTGCCAAGCAGGACGAGGGAGGTGATTCTCCCCCTCTACTCTGCCCCATCTGGAGTCCTGTGTCCAGTTCTGGAGCCCCCAACACAAGAGAGACCTGGACCTGTTAGAACGAGTCCAGAGGAGGCCACGAGATTGATCCAAGGGCTGGAGCACCTCTCCTATGAAGACAGGCTGAGAGAGTTGGCGCTGTTCAGCCAGAAGAGAAGGCTTTGGGGAGATCTTATAGTGGCCTTCCAGTACCTGAAGGGGCTACAGGAAAGCTGGGGAGGGACTTTTTACAAGGGCAGGTAGTGACAGAACAAGGAATAATGGCTTTAAACTGGAAGAGGGTGGGTTTAGATTAGACATTAGGAAAAAACACTGTACTGTGAGGGTGGTGAGATACTGGCACAGGTTGCCCAAGGAAGTTGTGGCTGCCCCCTCCCTGGAAGTGTTCAAGGCCAGGTTGGATGAGGCTTTGAGCAATTTGGTCTAGTGGAAGGTGTCCCTGTTCATGGCAGGGGGGTTGGAATTAGATGGTTTTTAAGGTCTCTTCAAATCCTAACCATTCTATGATTCTATGAAATCTTATCTCTCATTAAGATTTCTTCAGCAGTCATTAAATGTCTAGGCTATTTTTTCATACTGCCATATTGAAAAATTCCTGTAGAATAAAGGATTGTTGCTTGCCAGGTTAATACTAGTGTATATCACTTTCAGGTTTTTATTATAAATTTCATCACTGTAGACCTGACAATCTGAATTAGTATCTTGTGTAGATGGTTTCAGCTGACCCTCTTGCTGAAAGTCTGAATTGTAAAATAAATTGGCATGTACAGTGAATTATGCTACCTAAAACTTTTCTATTACAGAACAAACCCTTTCGAAGTAGTTTCTTGTGGCTTTTATACTCCTATGCTCCATCTTAAACTTAGTCTATTGATAAGGATTTAAGTGACTTTAAAGAGCCAAATAAAAGTTGAAGTGGAGCTGATCAAAAACCATTTACTGTGTTTTAAATATAAATCTGGAAACTGTTGCTTCAGGAGTTCTAGATTTGCTTTAGTTCAGATGATTTGTGCAATTGTGCATAGTTTGACCAATTTCTTGTTTAAATTGGATTAGTACCATGTTAATTTTGCATTGCCTCTGGTGAATAGCCACAGGGCTGTAATCTGTGCCAGTAATTTGTCACACCAAAGCTCTCTAGAGAACTATAGAAAACATTTGTGTAGTGAGGATTAGACGCTGAAAGGCATATCTTAGATTGTTAATAAATGTTAATGACAAAACCCAGCTGGTAAGTCTTGGAAATGAGATCTAATGCTTTGTGCCCATTGCCAAAAAAATGTTTAAACAGAGATTTCCATTACTCAAAGGTGACCTAGTACAGTCAATTTGTGAATTAAAGAAGCATAATCTACAGGCTAAGCATTTAGTAAAAAGCTCTTCTGATTTGCAACCATAAAAGTCAATGTTTCCTTAATTAAAAAGTTTCGTTTTACTTTGGAACTACTTCTTAGCATACATCTGTGATGGTTTTATATTTTGCAGAATATGAGATATGCAGAGCATAACTTAGAAAAGTATGGGACTGTTAACAGAAAATGCTCTAAACTTCTCCAAGTCTAGGATTTTGAATGCTAAACACAGTGCCAGTGCTAACCAAAAAAAAATCTAAAGTACACAAGGACTCATATACCTCATGCTTACCTGTGCTTAACAAAATAGAGAAGTTAAATTTAAACACAGTTTGTAAAGCTGAGTGGAAATAGACTTCACCCAGCTTACTTTCCTTCCCTTTTTGTTACTCAGTGCAAGTCTGTATTAATGCTTTATCTATTATACCCTTGTTCAGCTTTAGGAAGATAAAAATGTCAACAAGTTAGTTACATATCTGTGCACCCAGATAGATTTTATAATTTCCAGAGGCTTCAAAAATTGCCTTTCAAAGTTTGCTGACTGGGAGATCTCAATACGACACAAATGAGACTTCCATAGTTTTTGTATGTGAGCATTATTTCTGAAAGCAATCAAACCATTTACACAAAATTGCATACATGCTTAGGGAGATCTTAGATGCTGAATTCACTACCTGTCTTAGTGTAAGAAACAATGTATAAAAACAAATTTTCAAAATGTAAATGCATTATTCAATGTTATGGGAGAATTATTTTTAATTCTAATGTGTTTGTGCCCTACAGACCTGTTAAAACTAGCACTGATGCATTTGTTTAAAACAACATAGATAGCATTGGCTGGCTGACATTCACTCTGTCTTGCCCAGTGTCTTGCTTATCCACTTGGGAATTTGATTAGTTTATAAGTAATTTAGCCAAGGATGGGATGTAAATCTTTGTTTAAGAAAAAAAAAAGGCACAACAAAAAAAACCCAACAGTTGGAGGTCTAAGTCTTGGTTAAAAACTGTGTCTTGAAACCATCCAGGCCCTCCTACTGACTTGTCAGCTCTGGGTTATTTTCAGAAAACTTTACTTGAGTTCCTTAGCTTCAATCGTAAGTTTTTCCCACAGACTTGCATGGTATGTGTGAGTGGGAGAGTGAATAGTGGCTGCTATTTAGCCATTGTTTAGTCTAGTGTGTGTATGTTTACATCTCCCTTTTGGATTTATAGGCAGCTATGGCAAAATAAAGATTGTGCTTCTTTGATTGAAGAGCCTCTTAACTAGAGCACCTGGCGGCATACAGGGACTCTTTTATGATCTGATTATAATTGAAATTTGGGGGTTTTTTATTACTGGTTAATTTTTATTTAATGCTGATATTCCTGTAGTACTATGGGTTTCAAAACATGATTCAAGTTCCCACCATGTGAGCTCCTCAAACAGTATTCTGTGTCTCAAGCACTACATTAGAGATGCAAACTAATGAAGAAAAGTAGCTATACATTGAAGTAAATGATCTGATAACTAGCATGTGGCTTTGTTTGGACTGGATATGTTTTGTTTATGGAGATGTAAGAAGATGATGGCAAAATACCAAATTAATAAGAGAAAGGAATATTGGTGATAAGTTTTACTGAAGGGGAAAAGAAGAAAATGAGCAAAAGGAATAGAATGACTGGCAGTGCTGAGAACATAATGGAGGAGGAGATACCTGGGCCAACTAAGAGTATATTGCAGAAATAATTTTCAGAGTAATTTGTACATGGTACTCTTGATTCATCTGTGACTGCCTCGCTAGGGGATAGTGGCTGATGATAATGAGGTGGTGATGCAAGAATAAAGTTTCGAAGTGTTCTGAGTTTCTAGTAGGTCTTATTTTCTATCTATAAAGTTGCCTTTAGTCCAGCAGCTGATGATTCCCGAGTGTTCCATTTCCTGAAATTTAAAAATGAAAAATCCTAAAAGTTTTAAATTTAAAATTATAGTAGTTCTTACTGAGGCTTAAAATAGCCTGACTGGCTACAGTAAGCAGTTAAGAAAATAAATCTGAAATGTTCCTTATTTCAGGATATAATATAGGAGCATATTCTCTCTGGAAATGTAAAGTATGTCAGAAAGTCATGACTGAGAAATTTATGTGTGTGAGTATGTATGTATAAACTTGTGTGCACTAACATACACTTAAAAAATATGTTGTATTCAATTATAACTTAGCTTTTAAGTATACACAGAATAAAATGAAGACATTACAAGTGGGTTTAGAAATGCTGGACTTTGCTTTATTGGTACTGTAAATATGCATAAGTTTTTTAATATTTTTTTAATACTGATTTTTTAATTTTGGAAGATCTTGCAGGAAATTCTGCTATATCTCA